CTGTATTTGTAATAGATGTCATTAGCTACTTTGTGATGAAGTGTCATATAGATGGCTTAGATACTGGGCACATTCTACTCAGTATTTGGAGACTTTCTTGGACTACCTGTGTAATTCTCCAAAAGCCATCTCCTTTGGTCAAGTAAGTTAGGTGAGAGAGATAGGTAGAGAACCTGTTAATAATTCTCAGGACAAACAAGATTCAAAGATCTCTACATGATTGATTTATTTGTGGGTCTAAAAGAGTAGGCAAAGTTTCTGCATGCCTTCACTAGAGACAATGACAAAGCATAGATTCTTCCAATAATGGTATTTGCTCCTGATTAAATAAGAAGGAACTTATCTACCATCCTCTTCTTTTGGTGAAAATATATCGATTGTTTTATTTGTTTGCATTGGTCACAAGAAAAAAAAAAGCAACTAACTATCATGGAATAAAATGCTGTTCTGTCTTTCCAAGAAAAGCCTCTCTTCATTAGAATATAAAAGTAAGTGATTTTCCCATTAAATACTGACTATTGTAGAAAGAGTCTTTCTGTGATTTGCAATAAATGATTGTGAAAATAAAAGCTTATTTGTTACTTGTCAGCCAAGCCAGAGAGCCTGGAGGTTGAAGAATCAGTAGATCCTTCTATGGAGAATCAGCTTGAAATTATGTACATTTTGGGGACGTGTGTTCTTATTTGCTCATTCATAGAAGAGTAGATTCTATTATTTTTAGAGCTATAAGGGGCCTTGCAGGCACTGCACGTGGAATACGGTCAGTAAATATTTGCTGAGTAGATGTGTGAATGTATTTTAATGTTCCTCTCATTGTTGAATTCCTTTCTATATTTTATATACTAGAGAGTCAGTTATCTTGTGCTTGAATATTTTAACTTACTGAAAGCTTACGAAACTCTGAGGCAGCCTTTTCCATTGGTGGATCACTCTAATTATTGGATCTTTTCTTTTCTCTTGAGTCAGATTTTATCACCGTGTAATTTCCACCCTTAGGTTTTAGTTTGGTTTTATGGGGGAACATTAAAATAAATCTACTTCCCTTTCACATGAAAGTTCATCACATATTTCAAGACAGCTATCATGTCCCCCATATAATTCTTTTCTTCTGTAAGCCAAACTATCATTTTCACATGATAGTGTTTCTGGTTCCCTAACCATCTTTGTTCTTTTCCATTTTTTTTTTTTTGGTTGATGTCTTTAGTATATTTATTTTATCATCTTACTATGCAGTGAATAAACTTTGACCAAGAACTGTGATAAAATTTTTATACATACTCTTTTTCTTAAATCCTCACACCAACATGCAAAATGCATTTTACTTAATGACAACACTGTGTGAAGGACATGTAGATAATAGGTGGGATTTAGAATCATACTGGCTGTAAATACCTAGCAAGTCACATGCAGTCACCTAACCTTTCTGTGCTGCAGTTTCCTTATCAAGAAGCTGGGGGATCATAAAGACTCCTTACTTCTAGGACTGTTGTATGCATTAGATGAGCTCATATTTGTAACGCACCTAGAAAAGCATCTGGCTCAGAAAAAGCATCATGTGTATTATGGTTTGGACGTGAAGTGTCCCCCAAAGCTCATGTGTGAGACAGGCAGGAAGGTTTAGAGGAGAAATGGTTGGGGTTATGAGAGTTTTAACCCAATCTGTGAATGAATCCCCTGACAGAGTTAACTGAGTGGTAACTGAAGGCAGGTAGGGTGTGGCTGGAGGAGGTGGGCATTGGAGGGGTGCCTTTGGATCTATATTTAGTATCTGTCCAATGGAATCTCTCTCCTCTTCCAGATATGTGAGCTACTTCCCTTGGCCACACTCTTCTGCCATGATGTTCAGCCTTACCTCAGTCTCTGGGGAATGGAGCTGGCTGTCTATAGACTGAGACCTCTAAAAGTGTGAGCCTCAAAATAAACTTTTCCTACTCTAAAATTGTTCTTGTCGGGTATTTTAGTCAAAGCAGTGAAAAAAACTGACTAACTGTATGAAGCAAATAAGATAATTTGTGCTTTTACTTTGTATTATACCCACTTCTTGTGGTCTTGGTGTTAAAGTGAATTTGCTGAATGACGGTTCCCTGAACATGTTCACGTCCTAACCCCTGGATTCTGCAGATGTTACCTTATATGGCAAAATACACTTGACAGTTATGATGAAGTTAAGGATCTTGGGATTGAGAGAGTCTCCTAGGTTATCCAGGTGACTTGATGTTATCACATGGTCCCTCAAAGGGACACAGAATTCAAAGAGAAGAACACATGATTAGGGAGGCACAGTTTGCAGTGACACATGATAAGATGGAGGAAGGAGCTGAAAGCCAGGTTCTATAACCCAAAGAAAGGAAGGAAAGAGATTCTCAACTAAAGTCTCCAGAAAGAGCTAGCCCTGCAAAAGTCTTGATTTTGGAAAAGGGAATCTGACTTAAAATTTCTTTCCTATAGAACTATCAGAGAAAAATGAGTATTGTTTTAAATCCCTAAGTTTTTTTTTTTTTAAACAACAGCCACAGGAAATTAATACAGCAGTGTGAAAATTCTGAAATCTTGCATTAGAAATAACTCAGGTACATAGAGCCTGAATTGTTTCTGTGATGAATATCATAGGTATTGTGTTCCAGGTCAACATGTAGAAAAGTATAGCTCACAAACAGAAGGTTCCCAGTTGGAACATGTGATTGTCCTAACAGCATGGGTAAAGAGATTTCAGTAACAAAAAGCGACTCTAACAAAGTTAGATCCCTTCTACTTCTCTTGGGTCTCATTGACATTCCGAACAATCAAGAGTGTGGAGAAGTTTCTCTTTCTCTTTCCATATGCCTTTGACTTTCTGTTGTGTCAAATGTCCTTCCCGCTCATGACCTTTAGGGCCCCCTTTCAATTACTTCTTTGTTTCCCATTATTCTACCTATCACACTAGTTAAAAGATAGCAATTTATTGAGTACATGCTATGTGTTAAGTACTGTTTGGGGTTGAGTGTCAAAATGTTATAATAATAGTGACTATTACACTGTATTGTTATAATAATCACTATTAAGATAATAATAAGAATTTTTATTTTTAATTGTGTGAATTTAATTTTTTCCCAACTTAGTTTCCTCCCCATTGGGAAAGCATCTATTCTATGTATTTCTCTAAGTACTGTTAAACATGTTGAACAGAAAATGATGAATGATAGATTCTGGGTCTATACTTAGCAATATTATTTCAAGTCGGTTTCCAAAACTTATACCTGTCTGTCTCCAAAAGGCCATAAAAATATACAACTCTGAGACCTTAGAGTTATTTTCAATTTATCAATAAGTGAACATTTTGGGAAAGATTAATTTCATGTTATTAGTCATATCTCTCTGGATGGTACTTTTAGCAACTTTGAACTTAACTAATAATTAAGCTCACATAGATTTACCAGTGAACATATTATAAGAATCTTTGTGAAATGCTTTGCTGAAATTAATATTTACTTATGTTGTATTAAAATACTTCCGACAATCACCTGGGGAAGATATATAACTTATTCTTTTGTATAGAATGATGTTTTGTTGTCCTAGGGCTGTCAGCAAATTACTAAAATGGGTAGTATGGCTTCAAACAACAAAAACTGCTTCTCTCATACTCCCGGAAGGGAAATCCAAAATCAAGTTGTTAACAGAGGTCATTCCTTCTTGGGGGCTTACAGACTTTTCTTTTCAGTTTGCGTTCTCTGAGTATCTTTTCTTCTTTCTGTAACACCAGTCATATTGAATTGAAAACCCTACCCTATTGCAATATAACCTTAATTTTCGACTTAAATATGTCTGCAAAGATCCAATTTCCAAATAAGGTCAAAGGAGCTAGAGCTTCATCATATTTTTTTTGTGTGTGTGTGGGAAAAAGTGGATAGAATTCAATCTACAATAATATGGATAAGGAGATATCACTAAAATGACTGGAGGTACACATTCAGAACATGAACCTAGGATTTTTATCACTATAAAATACTCTCTGACTTCAGTTCCATCTTTTCTAGTAAATTTCACATTATTTTTCATGAATTCACACAGTAATTATTTAATAATATGCCTTAGAAGTTTATGTGGGCTAAATTTAATCTCACTATTTCTTAGTTTCTAAAATATATTTTCATTTTTAGTACGTTTTCTCATCAATAATGCTACATTCTTATATACTTTTCTTGTTTCCAATCTTATATAATTGTTCTGGGCCTTGACATTTCCATTTGTTTACATAGGTTTGCTGGTCCCTTATTACCTACACAGCTATGTTGAGTTTCAATTTCATTTTGTGATTGTTTTATATATTCTAGTTTAAGGCATAAGTAAAAAATGAGTGGCTCTTCATTTCCATGCACATATCTTGCATACATTGCTCCTGGGCTGCAGTTTGTCATGGAAGCCCTGGTCTTTTCATAAGAACAAGCTTCCCTTTCTAGCTCTTCAGCTACCTCCAGTACAAAGATGGAAATTCCAAGTGGGGCACAAATTATCAAGTCTATCAGTTAACTAACCAACTAATCAATAATTATTGAATTCCTATTGTTTACCAGGGGCTGTACAAGATGGGAGTTCTAGCAACATAAGAAACAACATATAAGAAATGTCCTTGAGGATCTTGCATGCAACTCAGGGGGGATAAAAGCATAACTAGATAATTGGAAGAGTGTATGCTAATTGCTTTGAAAATAGTTGATCAAATGTGGCTAGCATGGAGGAGAAATGCCTTTTCTAGCCTTGACATATTTATTAGTACCATACTTTGATAACTGCTTACATTCTCTCAATACTATTCTCTTATTATTTCAGATAGTGTTTACCTACTTTTGAAGGCACAAGCTCCTTTTATACACCTTACCGTACTTAGGAACAAACCTGCCACATTGAGTGCCCAATATATATTTTAGCCTCATGACAATGCACAACATATGAATCAAATAAGAACACTATTATTTGTGTTGAGCAACAATAACCTCTTTTTTTTCCCCTTTTGGTCTTTGCAGAGTCCTAACAATGATGTAGTTCTCTAGAGAAAAGCCAGAAAAGAAAAGACAAGGTTGGTATGACATCTTATAAATGCTTAAATGGGAGTTTATCTAAGAGAGGTTATTTAAATACAGAATCCACAGCATTAATTTTAAGTTCCCTGGGGTGTGTTTATTTTATCCAGCCACTTCACCTCATTACAGGGTCTTACGTGGTATGAGATTTTATAGACTAGAAGGAAAAAAAAATGTTTTTTTCCAGATGCATTGAACAAGAACCTGGTTGGCTGCTCCGGAGACATCCAGTTTCTCCAGCAGCTTCCTCTTCTTTCGCTGCCAGTTAAGAGGCTACTTTCAGGACAGCTCTGCTCTTCGGTCTGTGATAGCTGGAGTCAGAAACCGAGGGGGAAACGCACTGTCTATTGTGGTCTGTTTTCCTGTGTGACAGTCATTCCTATTTTGTGTTTGTTTCTCCTTTAATGAGGATACAACTTTCATCCAGGGAGATGTACGGGTCACTTGTTAGTGTACTCGCAAACACCAAGCACTCCAGCAGCTGGAAATGGTGACTTGTAGTTAAATTATTTTTGCGCAGCGACTGGTTTTCCTTTGGACATATTTTAATATACTTGCACACTGAGAGCAAGAGTGGGTGAACAGAAAGCAGACGGTTTTATTAACCCAGCAGTCACCTTTGAGGTTTGTACATGTCCACTTTTTTTCTTGCCTTTGTACATAATCCCAAGAGACTGGTACCTGGCTTTGCTCAGAATAACAAAGTCAGGCACAAATCTCCAAACACAATTGTTAGCTGAATGCCAACTGTTTCTTCTCATCTTTTTTTTTTTTTTTTTAACTTGAGCATTAAGAATTGTGTCTTTATGGGTGAACCATAACCATTAAAGAAAGAGTTTGTTTTTCTCTTTCAGATGCTTCCCCTATCATTTACTAGACTTATTTTATAACATGTACCTTTGGGTGATAAAAGAATATAATTTTCTTCATGTTTTTTTGCAGAGCTCCTTTATATATTTTTTTCCACATTTGCTAACAGTGAGAAGAAGAAAAATATGTTACAGGCTTTAACCGGACTCCAGTTTCAGCTGAAATCACTAATAGGAGAAAACGAGAGGAGACTTCAACTTGGCCATGAGTCCAGGACACACTTCCACATGCAGTTTTCATGTAAACCCGTGTTTCATAGGCTTTTCCCAGCAAGACCAGAAATTTTGTCAAGTCAATTACCATCCTTTTCTAAGGTACCTATTTACATATACAGTTATAATTTCTCAGCAAATATAGTGGATAAATATCTCTGAAAATCCATACATTTTGATTGTACTTTAAAGTTAAAGAAAATAGAATAAAACTCAGGGTTTTCTTTCAATACCCAGTAAGTGACTACAGCTCACAGTATGTGGCTCATTTAGCAGCAAGGAAATATTAGAGCAATAAAACATCCAAAGTGTGTAATTTTCTCTTTTCTAGCATCATCATTATCTTCTGCATCATCATCATGATAATAATATTACTGGCTGTTTTGGAGCTTTATATACTTTACAAAAAAGCTTCACATCATCTCATTTGGCTATCCAAATCAGTCAGTGAGGTATGCAATATGAGTGGGAAGATTATTAATAGTGATTAACTTTTTATAAGCCCTCTAAGACTTATAAAACACAAATAGATGGTGTGTAGAAAGAACATGTTCTTTAAGTTAAAATTCTCTATTGCTGACTCAGTAATTTTGGGCCTTCTAAAGCATTGCTTTGTTTTATTATTTAATGTGAAAGATAGTAATTATGCCAAAAATTGCTTATGAGGTTTGATTGAAGGTTACTTTTTGTTGAGGGTCTATCACAGTGTGTATAGGTGGCAAACATATTTTAAATGGAATTTCTGTACTAAGGTAGGGCAAAGTAGATAACTTCTTAGGCAAATACTGTGAGGATATGATTCTATGCTTAGCGACCAGATAGGACACTCAGTAAATAATGGAAACATGATTAGAACCCATGTCCTCTGTTTCTAAGTAGATTTGTACAATTCAGTTTTATTTAAATACTATATTTTGAGCATCTGTTTTTGACCAAGTTTTTTATTGTATTTCTAGAATATAAATATGAAGAAATACCTTGCTATGAAGGCTTTAAAATGTAGAGGGAGAAATAAATAATTACAACAAAAGAAAGTCTATGTATCATAGGTATAGTGCCCAGTATTATACTCGGGTTTCTGTGTCAAAGAAATCTTTCACTGTGGGTGCATTTGATTGGATCTAAAAGTATTATTGCATCCATTCTCTGGAAATAGCCAGATCAATCATATTTGCTTTGGCTTGAAAATTTCATCTATTCTTAAGAATAAGTCTATTTCATTAACCTGTAATGGATTTTCAATTGCAAATGCTTATTTATTGTAAATTAAGCATTAGAAAAATCACTGTTTATAAGGGTAACTGACAATGCTTTGTTTATTATTATTTCTGACTTTATTACATTTTTCGTTTTAGTCATCGCAATTTTCTCAAAATGTATTGTAAATAGACAAGCTTTTAATAGAAAAATTACATAAGATTCTAAGCTCTATAATCTTTGTGAATTTAGGCTCTCATCATCATTATCCTTACATCTGCATTAGTAAAACAATACATTTTTTAGCACTTAATAAGCAAGTGCTATGGAACTGGCATCATGCTAAGCATTTTATTACCATTATTCTAATTCTTCACGTACCTACTATGATAGCTGTAAGTCCCATTTTATAGATAATGAACTGAGGTTCAGAGATTTTGAGAAATTATCTCAAAATTGCATAACTAGCAAAAATGTTCTATGACTACAACAATGCTGGCAGTTGTTATTTGCCTACCTTGTTTGGTTTTACCTCTTTCTCAATTAGCTTTATTAGTGAGATTGCTAATGATTTTCAACAAGAGTAGCCCAAATTGAAGGAGATTAAATGACAGATATAATATGTTGGCTTCCATTACCAGAAAGGAGAGCTGATATCGGGGTAACTGGAACCATCACTTCAAGTATCTTTAAGAATGTCTCTCTTTTCTCATCTGTGTATTGTCTTCATTCTATGTATGGCCAGCTCTTCCTTGCAACAATCAGTGTAGGCTTCAGTTCTTTTAGGCTCACATTCTCACAACTTGCCACCAAAGAAAATGGGGACGTAGGTTAACTCAGCTCCATTGTGAACAATTGTGGGAAATAATTACTGGTATCATAACTCAACCCTTGGTCTGGCCATTATGACCAAGACAGTGAGAGTGGTTGTTATAGTTTGGATCTGGAATGACTCATATGTTGAAGGGTTGTGAAGTAGTGCCCAGCTTGTGGCACTTTTATGAGGTGGCAGAAACTTCAGGAGGTCGGGCCTAGTTGAAGAAAATAAGTCACAGGGGCATACCTATGCAGGGTTTATCTTGCTCCTGCCCCCCTCTCTATTTCATCTCTCTCTCTCTCTCTCTCTCTCTCTCTCTCTCTCTCTCTCTGGTATACCATATGCTACCCATCATGATGTTTTGTCTTGCCAAAGGTCCAAAGTGACAAGCCAGGTGACTATGAACTGAAACCTCTGAAACCTTTAGACAAAATAAACTATTCCTCATTTAAGTTGTTTATCTCTGTTATTTTGTTACAGTGAAAAATTAGATTAACACATCTATGCTCATTTTTTTTTTTGGTCAGGTGTTAACTTTTATGGGTGAAGAAAGAGATGGAGGGAAAGTTTATTATCCTAATTGGAGAGGGTGGTATTCATTTTTTTAGCTATTAACATAGATCATTATGATACCTATTCTCATTGCCTTAGTTAATTCCTCACTATTGAATAACTTAGGTAATTCCATCTCTTAAATCACATCTGCAGGATAGAGAGGTTTAGGGTATTTTTGTCCATTAAGATCAGCTTTATCAAGTTTTAAATATTTGAAGTTGATTTAACCCAGATATGTTCTCTAGATCTGAAACTTTTCTTTTTAGGGTATAAGGTAGAAAACTGTATTTCTTGTAGGGAACAGGATGCTTACTCTCTAAAATTAAAACAAATTAAAATTAGCCCTGATGAAGAGGTTTTAGACTCTGTAAGTATGATATGTGGACAGACACACTGGGTGCATTTGGTCAATTCTGCTTTTGGATAGCATGTGCCAGCACCTATGAGCCCGATTAAAACTATGTGATGTGGGGAATTAAATTTCTGGGTTTAAAAAGCTGAGGACCAGATCTTTCTCTGTAGTGACTTTATGAAGGTATGTCCCACTTTGAAGCTCTGTTTGAAGTCATCAGTAGCTCATACTTTTTACTTTTTAAATGTTGAGGCACACCACTACTGTAAACTTAGAGGCTTGTGCTATGATTTAGTGCACTAAATTTCATGAGGCTTCCATGATAATACACTGGAATGTATTCCAATAAATATTTCTTAATGTATTTTAAATAATTAATTGAGCTCTCTTGGAGTATATACAATGGAAGTATTCTTCAATCAATTGAACAATGTTTCTAAACATAACATGTGCCAATCTATTGTTGAATGTGAACACAGACACTGTATGGGAAGCTCTATCTTCTTGGAGTGTCTAATTTAATTTTGTTGATTACATGTAGAAAGGTAAAAAAAAAATATGAGAAAAGTGGTGCCCTTTCTTTTGTATAACAATTTCAAACTTTTCTTGAATTCCTACTACCATGCCAGCACTTATATCTTCTTACTGGGGGAAGGAGTGTGGTAAGAAATGGAAAAGAGAAGATCTAATTAGAGAGAGGATAATGGGATAAAAATTTAGCTTTCCAGTGCCAGGAGTCTCAAAGCTTTTCTAGTTCAAGTGGCTGTTTTAAGTCTTAATCTGTTTCTTTTTGGCAGACACTCAGACTCTTATGGATATGAGGCAAAGTTCACATGCCCTTATGTCCTCTGATATGGATGGCTTTCTCCAAGAATTTTCTTTCTCTGCCTGGCCACTGCTATCTGGGATTTCCTCCCAGGATCTGTTTCTGAGTCTCTGACTAATGGGACCTATAGCCTGTTTCCCTGGCAGTGTCACTGTCAGTGGCCAATATCAATGGACCTGGGGCTTCAATCATGGAGCCCAGGCTGGACTCTTGTTGCCTACTGGGTACCTGCAGGAATACTTGAATACTTGTATGGCACAATTCTGATATGCTGAGGTCCCTCAACATTATCAGAGTTCTCAATGGGAAAAGCAACAAAAACTTCTTTTGTTTATATTTCTTCTCTCTGTTGTATTTTCTGTTCATTTGCAGTTTCTCCACTGCATGCACACCATCTAATGATTCTGTCCTCTGGTCTCCCTTTGTTCTCTTTCTGAAATTTTTTTTGTGATTTTTAAAATAATACATACTCATTTTTTTCCTTGGTGTGCTAGGAACTTTCTAAAATTTTCTTTTTCTGGCATTGGCATTCATTTTAGTTTTCTTTGGGATCCTAGGGCAACAGGGTTACAGGGAATAGAGTTGGGATACAAAAAAGAAAAAATGTGAAGTGGCATATATCAAAGTATATTAATCTTGACAAAGAGGTAAAACTTATATAAAATAAGGGAACACAATAAAGGAAAATTGCAATCATAGATTCAGTTGCTAAATTTTCCATCTTAGACCTCATTTGCTAAGTTGTATTTTGGGTGTTCTAAATGTGTTAAATACCCTGTAGAATTTGGTCATCTCCTCCAGTTATAAATCTCATTTAAATTTATGCTGGACATCCTTTTGAAGTTACCTTTCAAAGAACTCTTAAAACCTTTATTTTTTAAAATAAAGCTTAGAGTTTTAAAAAAGAGAAATTATGTCAAGTTGGTCTGTATATTATGCCTTAAATACTTGAACAGTTTCTCTGCCTTTAGTGTTGATGAAAAGGATAGAAATTACGGAAAGTATAAAACTGGAAAACAAAGTGACAACTAAGTATTGTCTGTAAAATTTTGGGGGAGGTTATGTTTCTTCCAAAAGTTCCCTTTTGTGTAAGTATGAGTAATGCATACTTCAGACCTGAGCAAATGTAGCTACTGCTATCTTATAAGTAATGGAGGAGCTGAAATGGTAGCTATGCTTATGCTCAGTTCATCCAGCTAATGATGAGCACCATAATCAAGAGGCCTACAGAAGTCACCTAATCCCCATTGTGTTATCTGAATAACATGTATTATGCACCTGAGATTCACAGCATCTAATACCTAGTGAAATAGATTTATAGCCAAGAGCTTACTAATGGAGGAAAATGGCCCACT